CCTGCGAGCAGACCGCCTCGGCCTTGCCCCTCGTGTCGGCGTCGGCGTTTTCGTAGACCTTGTAGCAGAAGTGGCCAATCCTCAGCCAGGTGTCCGGACAAGCTGGCCACCAGCACAGGTCAGGTCAGGTTAACGTGGCCGACGGCAGGACACACAGGCGGGCTGCTCTGAGCCTTAGAGGCCAGTTGGTTCACAGGAGCGACGTGCAGATAGGCTGATGTCCCAAGGGACACGGGAGCGTGATATATCAAACGATATATATATATATATATTATATATAATATATATAATATATATATATATATTATATATATAATATATATATTATCTCTCTCTCTCTCTCTCTCTCTCTCTCTCTCTCTCTCTCTCTCTCTCTCTAATTATATATATATATATATATTATATATATATGTATATATATATGTAATATATATGTGTATATATTATCTATCTATATATATATATATATATATATATATATATATATATATATATATATATATGTGTGTGTGTGTGTGTGTGTGTGTGTGTGTGTGTGTGTGTGTGTGTGTGTGTGTGTGTGTGTGTGTGTGTGTGTGTGTGTGTGTGTGTGTATGGTCGGCTCAAAGAGGTATAAAAAGGCAATGGGATGCTACGCAAAATCTGTTAACAGACGGCAAGAATCGTGGCATGCTGCCGCTTCTTTGTGCACGCTCATTGAGCCAAGGTAGGACAAAGGCTAATACTTGAGTGCGGTAAAATGTGCACTAGCTTTGCACCAGCAGCCGCTCACAGGCGACATAGAAGTTGTGCTGCTCGGGTCCTCCACACATCCAGTGATCCTGCTGGCAGGTGATGTTGCAGGCGGTCGACGGCGTCAGCGACTCGTACGGCATTGCGTCCAGGCAAGAGCAGGAGGCGCCGCTCAACGCTGAAACGGCGGGACTGGCCATCAGCAGCGCGCTATTAGCGCCAACGTCCAATTGCCTGCGAACAAAGCCCGGCAAGTGCAAGCGCCAGGAGATTCGTGACGATTATGGGTGGCGGCGTGTACGTAATTGGTGCGTAGTTTCAGGCACCAAATTCAGCTGCTTTACGTCGGCTAAGCTGAATGACGTAACAATGGCTATATCCGTTCTATTTGAGTTTGCCACGCCTAAGAAGAGCCAGGAAATGACTGGAATCTAGCGGCCAGAGCGTCGTAGAGCCAGGAAATGACTGGAATCTAGCGGTCAGAGCGTCGTAGCAACTTCGGCTGACGGCTGACTTTAAGACATCCCATGAGATGTCTGGATGTTTAAGATGTCTCAGATGGAGGGCGGTCGAGAAACCACTCCGTGACCGATCGACCGCTTGATGTCGATCCTCATTATCGATCACCATCATCATCATGTCATGTCGAAGGGCAGCGCGTGGGCGTGTTACCGGCGATGGGCTTGTTGAGCCCCTGGCACGAGACCAGACACGGCGGAACGTCGTTGGATGACGATTCTTGGGCGTCCGCCGGTGTTTCGTAGCCAGAGAAACAGCCAAGACCAACGGGAACATCTGTGATCGCAACGTGTGGCATTTGAGAACGCTCCACCAACCAGTGGATGGAAATCGGCACTCGGTCTGCAAATGAGCTCCAGCATTGGTCTATCGTACTCCGCTCTCTGCGTACAAACGTTGATAAGCGTTGTTTGCAATGTCATAGGCCCGAGCTGGTCACTGAGGCATTTGGACCAATGCAGCACTCGAGCACACCCAAGCACTCGCGCAGCGTAGCAGTAAGGCGTATGCTCACCAATTAGAAGACGTTGGGCAGAAACGGCCGCGTTCATATTGGCATTGGGGGCTGCAGTTGGGTAACCTTGACTTAGCATTTCCTCCTCCACTCTGGGAACAAAGAAAGATAGACATAGAAATGGAAAGAGAGGGAGGGAGAGAGAGAGAGGGAGGGAGGGTGGGAGGGAGGAGAGGCAGAGCGGGAGAGAGAGAGGGGGAGGGAGAGGGGGAGAGAGAGGGGGGGGGGATTGCAGGCTGCGTCAGGTTGTGCGGACGAAGCTTGTGGGGCACCTGCGAGAGCATCACGGGCGTACAGTGCGCCACACACAGCTCAACCGTTCAGGGGGCACTATAACTCCCCAAGACGCGCCCCTTCTGTCGCGACATGATGGGCCGACCTGGCGACGATGCCCACTGCTGGGTTCGTCCAGCGGACGCACCTACCTCAGCCGGGCGGAGGATCCGTCGAAGGTCACCGGGTCGTAACCCACCCGGACCACGCGGCCGTTCGGGCACGTCGAGGACGACTCGGCCATCAGGCTCTCCGAACTGTCGTTGGCCAGCTTGTACATCCGCATGGTCATCTGGTCGGCGTCGGCGTCCATCGCTGTACACCTGGCGCAGGGAGGAGCTTAGGCACGTGTGGTCTCACAAAGGCACTAAATTCGAAAACCGTCGAACGCACCACAGGCCGTGTTGCATGACGTTGTCACTTGCTATTAAGTGATAGATGGTCTCATCGCAGATGATAGTCGCATCTATTGTGGTGACAAAGGCGGAAAAGCGCAAAAGCTAGTAATTCGTAATGTAAGTGTAGTGAGTGACCGAGTGCCGTGAGCAAAGGACAAGTTGTTCGGATGTGTGCAGATCAGACGTCTTTCGCGTCCCACTCGGAGATTTATCCAAAACTTTGTTCATTCTTAAAAATGTTGTGGGGTTAAGTGCATAGGCATAAGCACCTTTAAGCAGAGCGCACTTCTCACGCTTCCGATACATGTGCTGCCCCGCGTACACTACCTTCTAATGCGTCACTTCTTAGGAGTTCCACGCAGAGCGTTCAGGTTGTTCCGAATTATTTAGAAGAATTCCCTCATATTTTCTTTGCAGTCTGTGTAGCTTGGTTTGGTACAATAAGTGTAATTTTTCCAAACAGTGCCACAGCAACGACAAATATCACGGTGCAGACTTACGAGGCGTAAAATGTTCCACTGGGGTTGAATGCGTCCAAGTACTGGCGAGGAAGAACGTCTGACACAGTAACATTCTGGTTCCTAAGGATGAGGGAAGAACATCGTTACGCACAAACCGTGCAAACATAGTTATACACAAGCAAGTAAACTGATGAAAACTTATAGCATGTTCATCAACTCAACATCTCATCAAATACTAAAGTCTACAGATATTGTTTACCCACGTCACTGCCGCACCGTTCTTCCCCTTGTCAGATGAAGCAAAAGTAGCAAATTTGCTTCAAACATTAGACGGCTCACATGGCACCCGAACAGTCGTCGCATCGCACGCTTCTAAGCAACATTCTACAGGGAGCGCTCAGCAGTTCTCATGATGAGACTACGAAACGATATTTTTTTTCGATTCCATCCCACGCGCAGCCAGCCATGTAGGATCTGTGTCGAATCTAAGCCCGTGAATTTCATTCAAGGCCGATCCGACCGTAATCAGATTTAGGATAATCAGATCCAGATCCGCTCTAGACTGATCCGATTACGATCTAAGTTTCACAAAGTGGCGAAACAGAGTAAGCTGGGATGGGAAGTTTTCACAAGTTTAATCTGACTGGGCGTGAGCCTCCCGGCGTGAAGCCTGGATTACCTGCCATTTAGGATCACATCGGCACAGCACTGTCCTTTCGCATGATAACCTCAGCTAGTATGTGATGTGGTGTTAAGGGGATTTCACTCCCCGCCGGTTTTTGGTCGCCGGTGGTCTTTTTGTGGAACTGGCTTTTTAAGTGCCAAATGTTGTCACTATTAGCCCGCTCATTTCACTTGTCTGCTGATCCATAATCCGATTATTTGGACCATGCAGATGAGTCGGCTTGCAGATGATTACCCTACCAACAGTAAAAGACTCAACTTTTGTTTAGTTTCAGAGTAAACGTTGGCTTGTTTGAACAGCTCACAAAGGTCTTTGTCAGTGGTTTGAACTAACAGTGAATGCCATCCCAGAGCCAGATTTGATCAGAAACGGAGTCCCACGCGCGTCCAGCCAGGCCGATTGGATTTGGGTGCGAGATCCGTCGAAGTGGTCCAGTCCGTTTTGCACCCCGCGCGTGACACCACCGGCAGACACCAGCAGGCCGACAGCGGCCAATGTGACCCCGCTGACCTCTTCATGGGCAGCAGGTTGGTCAGGGTGCCGACTACGACGTAGTAGGCGAAGCCGTCTGTCAGCGGTCCTCCCGGCAGCCCCGGCCAGGTCTCCTTGACCCGGCGCGCGATGCGCGGGCTGAGACTGGCGGGGCACTGGCCGGCCTCGACGCAGTTCTCCCAGTGCCAGGCGCCCTCGAAGTGGTCGCCGTCCGAGTCGAGCAGCAGATCATAGGTGGCCGCTGGTGGTATGAGCGACACGACACGCGGGTGTCAGTGGGCGACAGGGCGCACGGGTATCGGTGGGTGACACGACACACAGGTGTCAGTGAGCGACACGACACGCGGGTGTCAGTGGGCGACTACGACTCACGAGTGTCGGTGGGCTGACACGATATGTGTGTGTCGGTGGACGACATGACACCCGGGCGTCGGTGGGTGACACAACGCCCGGGTGTCGGTGGGCGACACGACACACGGGTGTCGGTGGGTGACACGACACGTGGGTGTCGGTGGACCACATGACTCCCGTGTGTCAGTGGACGACACGACACACGGGTGTCAGTGGACGACACGACACACGGGTGTCAGTGGGCGACAGGACACACGGATGCCAATAGGCGACGCGACACACGGGTGTCAGTGGGCGACACGACACACGGGTGCCAGTAGGCGACACGACACGCGTATGTCAGTGGGTGATACGACACACGGGTGTCAGTGGGGAAGACGGGACGCAGTCGAGGCCGATGGAGCTAAACAAAACCCTAAATCAGCGACTTGAGGGAGCAAACGATGAAGGCAATACTCCTTCTGCTATGGTCAAAGGCTACTTCCAAGAAATAAGAATTAAAGAAAGGTGAGCATTCCAATGAAATGACAGCTTAATAGACCGCATTTCTGTGCCGCTCCCAAAACTCATAGATCTGTAAAAGGGTCCCTTAAAGCGACCGCAACCTCGCACACCCGAGTAAGTTTGATCACCATGACTGCAAGCGTTGCAATGCCTCACACCAATCGTGCCGAAAACGATGGCAAACGACGCCAGTCTTTACGGTCGTCAGCCGAACACATCCGACCGATGAACTGTGTGCCCACAGATAACTTTCTTCGTCGTTTCTGCACCCTGGAATTCCCCATCGAACGTAGCATCCAATTTGTAGATGAGCCCCGTAGCCCGCGCAGCACGGCGGCGTGGAGCGCGCAGCGCCGGCGGCAGCCGGAGCAACCGGCCCCGGCAGCTGCTGGAGCAGCCGTCCTCGGCAGCTGCTGGAGCAGCCGGCCCCGGCAGCGACCGAAACAGTCGGCCCCGGCAGCGGCCGGAGCAGCCGGCCCCGGCAGCGGCTGGAGCAGTCGGCCCCGGCAGCGGTCGGAGCAGTCGGCCCCGGCAGCGGTCGGAGCAGCCGGCCCCGGCAGCGGCCGGAGCAGTCGGCCCGGCGGCGGCCGGAGCAGCCGGCCCCGGCAGCGGTCGGAGCAGCCGCCCAGGACGGCGGCCGGAGCAGCCGGTCGGGTACCTGGGCTGAGGCAGTTCAGCTCGAAGGCCGTGTAGGTTGGATCCGGGGCGGTCCAGCACATGTCGTTGGCGTTGGTCGATGAGCCTTTGCTGAGTGAGAGACCGAATATGCACCTGCGGGCAGTGAGAGGGGGGGGGGGGAGGGGGTGAACGCACGCCGGCCTGGCGTGCGAGTGTGGTCAGTGGAACAGGTGGCCGACTGGACGGCGAGGTAAGCATGGCCATCGCTACAGCCGCCGCTGTGACCGGACCTGCTGTGTACTGCTGTGCAGAATATCACGCTTCGCTGACGTAAGCCAAGCCAAAGCGACTCCGGACATTCTAGCAATGATTCTGAAGCGCATAAAGACGTGAGCACTAGCATCTGCCAAGCCTGGAAGTGTGATGAGAAAATGTTGGAGATACTTGGAGCACCTAAACCTTTCATGGACGTTTCAAGTTCAGCTTGTGCACAGGTGCGCCAATGGAGAAAACGGGTGACGGGGACTACACATTTTAGTGTTCATAACTAAAAGTATTTACAAAAGGAATACACGCTCCACTCACGGCGCGCAAGAGCAGATCAGCCTGATCAGCGTGCGCGCAAGAGCAGATCAGTCCTGCCCGACTCTAGTCGCCGGAGCTGGAAACGTTCGAGCCAACGAACTGAGCAGAGAGCCAATCAACGAACGGAAATATACCACATTCCCGCACACGGGTAGCAAACCAATAGTCTCGTCATCAACAGTTCGCGACAGCTGGGCGTCCACTGAGCCATGTTGGCTGCGGTCCGTTGCTGGGCCGATGCTGAGAACCCAGTCCAGCCGTTGGCGGGGCGCAGCGAGCCTTGATGCCAGCGAGCCTTGATGCCAGCGATGTACTCACGACTGGGTCGACTCCTGATAGGCGAACATGTCGCACGTGGCTGACGAGATGCACGCTCTCGAGCACTTGGCCATTGAACCTCTGGACATCACTCTAGCCTGAAATAGCGTTCAGTGCGGCCTCAGCGACTCGCTCAGTTTACCTGGGAGCGCCGGAACAGGAGGTGAACGTCACGAAGCCGAGACGGCAGCATCCGAAATACTAGGATTGAAGCACAGACGCGTGTAGATCAGCTGTTATCGCTACGTGAGTTGTGTGCGGTTATCGGCCGGCAGAGCGGTATCATCGAAGATCTAGTGGTGGGGAAGACCGTATGTGCATCATGTGATCAAGTATAGCATATTATTGCAGTAGCGTTTTAGTTCTGTGCGTGGGTACGGATCAGCGCAGGGCACCCATAAAGCAGAGTTAATGGTTTGCACCGTAAACCCACCACAACAGTATTGTCATGACGGGTGAACGGAAAACTACGTTGGACGTTCTTGTCAAAGCTAGCCGAGTGTGGACAACATGGAGCCAAGAATCATATTTCACGGCCGTCCCCTTGTCGTCCGACAGGCCGTCTTCCCGTCTCTCTCTCTCTCTCTCTCTCTCTCTCTCTCTCTCTCTCTCTCTCTCTCTCTCTCTCTCTCTCTCTCTCTCTCTCTCTCTCTCTCTCTCTCTCTCTCTCTCTCTCTCTCTCTCTCTCTCTCTCTCTCTCTCTCTCTCTCTCTCTCTCTCTCTCTCTCTCTCTCTCTCTCTCTCTCTCTCTCTCTCTCTCTCTCTCTCTCTCTCTCTCTCTCTCTCTCTCTCTCTCTCTCTCTCTCTCTCTCTCTCTCTCTCTCTCTCTCTCTCTCTCTCTCTCTCTCTCTCTCTCTCTCTCTCTCTCTCTCTCTCTCTCTCTCTCTCTCTCTCTCTCTCTCTCTCTCTCTCTCTCTCTCTCTCTCTCTCTCTCTCTCCTCTCTCTCTCTCTCTCTCTCTCTCTCTCTCTCTCTCTCTCTCTCTCTCTCTCTCTCTCTCTCTCTCTCTCTCTCTCTCTCTCTCTCTCTCTCTCTCTCTCTCTCTCCTCTCTCTCTCTCTCTCTCTCTCTCCTCTCTCTCTCTCTCTCTCTCTCTCTCTCTCTCTCTCTCTCTCTCTCTCTCTCTCTCCTCTCTCTCTCTCTCTCTCTCTCTCTCTCTCTCTCTCTCTCTCTCTCTCTCTCTCTCTCTCTCTCTCTCTCTCTCTCTCTCTCTCTCTCTCTCTCTCTCTCTCTCTCTCTCTCTCTCTCTCTCTGCCTTTCCGTCCATCTGCCCGTCCCCTCGTCCCTCTGCCCTGCTGTCCGCCCCTCCCCCCCACCTCTATTCGTCCTGCTGTCCGTCTCCTCCCCCCCCCCCCCTCTGTGCAGCTATCCACCCTCTCAGCCCTCTCTATCCTGCTGCTCGTCCTCCCGCCCCTCTGGGTCCTGCTCCCCGTCCCTTCGCCCTCTCGCCGTCGGTCCCTCTGGCGGAGCCAGCCCGCGCCGGGCGAGCAGCGGCCCAGCGGACCACGAGCGCCACCGCCGGCCGGCGGCGTCACTCCGCGACCGCTCACAGAGCTGGGGGCGTAGTTGAAGACGCCGTAGTAGGGGATCCAGGTGGGCACGCACGACTCGAGTGTCTCGAAGCTGACCAGATCGAAGGCGACGGAGCCCACGCGGCCGTCCAGTCCCGTGATCTCCACCTGCCGGTGCGGCAGCCGCCGGTCAAGGTCGACGCTGCTGCACGCACTGACGCTGACGCACTGACGACTGACACTGACGCAGTACGCCACGCAAAGCAGGCATTAAACCGTGCTCGGGTGGGATGGATGGCCACCATTCGACTGTCCTAATGAATTTCTACAATGACCTCCGACCGGTACGTGGGGCGACGCCAAACTTTGCGGCGGTAAATAATTAAATAAAAGACCTGTTGGTGCAGACAATTTGTGCCTCTTGTGGTACCCAAGCTGCAGAAGAGCAAAGTCGAGCCTTGGTCGCCAGTAAAGAAGGTTCTTAGGGTATATTGCGAACTAATTCGACAACTGTGCGCTAGTCGAATTCATACAGCTCTTGAGCTGACATCTTACAAAATTAGACAAGCGCAATTTGGCATGCAACTGATTCTATTGGCTTTAGGTGATTAACTCAAGATAACCTCAAAACCAAAGAGCATTTTCTATTGAAAATTAAAGTCAATGGAAGTCTTTGCGCTCACTTTGAATTCTTGATCATAAATGCGGCAACATATTCGTTATGGTGACTTCATAAAGATCAAGGAGGCCGCTGACCTAGAATGACCTTGATCCACTTTTTTCGTAGAGGAATTTTCTACCTGGGGCAGCTTTGTGCTGATTTTAAACTCAATTAGCAAAGTGATTTCGCAGTGTTTTGGTTGTTTTGATCTCCTGAAGGTCAGATGAGGTCACTGGTTCTGACCAAGAGAACTTATGTTTAGAAAAGGTGTCTAAGCTAAAGGTGGTATCATGAGAAGGTCTGCGGGCACGCTGAACCATGCTCACAAGTTAAACTAGCTTGATCACATTGGACACGAAGTTCTACCTCTAGGTCTAACAATTTTATGCAGATGAGCTCCCACAAAGTTTTGCCTGCACTATGCATTTGGCGTGTCACCAGCACTCTTGATCTATTATGAACAAGAGGTCAAACTGACCTCCACTGCATCATAGCACGTCGCATTCAGCTGTCTACCGGATCGCATGCTACCCGGCACGACTCCCGCCAGTCCCATTAAAGAGCAGCGCAGCAGAGACACTCATCCTTACAGCTCCCACACCTCCCGTCAATCCCACTAAAGAGCAGCGCAGCAGAGACACTCATCCTTACAGCTCCCACACCTCCTGTCAATCCCACTAAATGGCAGCGCAGCAGAGACACTCATCCTCACAGCTCCCACACCTCCCGCCAGTCCCACTTAAGAGCAGCGCAGCAGAGACACTCATCATTACAGCTCCCATACCTCCCGTCAATCCCACTAAAGAGCAGCGCAGCAGAGACACTCATCCCTACAGCTCCCACACATCCCGTCAATCACACTAAAGAGCAGCGCAGCAGAGACACTCATCCTCACAGCTCCTACACCCCCCGTCAGTCCCACTAAAGAGCAGCGCAGCAGAGACACTCATCCCTACAGCTCCCACACATCCCGTCAATCACACTAAAGAGCAGCGCAGCAGAGACACTCATCCTCACAGCTCCCACACCTCCCGTCAATCACACTAAAGAGCAGCGCAGCAGAGACACTCATCCCTACAGCTCCCATACCTCCCGTCAATCCCATTAAAGAGCAGCGCAGCAGAGACACTCATCCTTACAGCTCCCACACCCCCCGCCAGTCCCACTAAAGAGCAGCGCAGCAGAGACACTCATCCCTACAGCTCCCACACATCCCGTCAATCACACTAAAGAGCAGCGCAGCAGAGACACTCATCCTCACAGCTCCTACACCTCCCGCCAGTCCCACTTAAGAGCAGCGCAGCAGAGACACTCATCCTCACAGCTCCCACACCTCCCGTCAATCACACTAAAGAGCAGCGCAGCAGAGACACTCATCCCTACAGCTCCCATACCTCCCGTCAATCCCATTAAAGAGCAGCGCAGCAGAGACACTCATCCTTACAGTTCCCACACACCCCCGCCAGTCCCACTAAAGAACAGCACAGCGGTGACACCCATCCTCACGGCTTTCATGCATCCGCGTCCATCATAATCTCCGCGCCGCAACCACTTTTCACGACACGACAAGCCTCAACGCAAGCGATCACGTCACGCTGGCGACGACACGGAATATTACGTCACGGAAACCCTGGCCGCCGCCATTCGACAGCGCTGGGCGGCAGCGCGCGCCACTTCCACACGTGTCGTGCGCACGGCGCGTGCCACTGGAGCTTCGCTGGGCCCAGACACCCTCCGACAGCACGGCCAGGCCGCCGCGGCAGCAGCTGTACCTGGTAGGGCTCTGCCGATGCCGGGATCCGAAGGGTGAGGTACTTCCAGTGCTTGACGTTGCCACATCTGTAGCAGAGGGAGCTCCACGCGCGCTCCCGGTTGCACAGGCCGAGGTTAGCGCATCTGCCGAACGTCTGAAAGTCACAGGTTCGTCTCATCAACTAGGTATGTGATAAACAATAGCAGTGCGTTCGGACGGCAGCAGCATGGCAGCAGCAGCAGCGGCGCGCTGTCCCATCTGCTCATACAGCAGCAGCGGCGCGCTGTCCCATCTGCTCATACAGCAGCAGCGACGCGCTGTCCCATCTGCTCATACAGCAGCAGCGGCGCGCTGTCCCATCTGCTCATACAGCAGCAACGGCACGCTCGCGCAGCAGCAGCGGCCGTGTGAGCGCGCCGCAGTCTGCAGTGCGGGCTCAGTCTGAACGCCGCAGTCGCCGCAGGACGTGGCAGGGCGGGACGTGTCCGCCAGTTTGTGCCGCAGTTCGCCAGAGCGCCAGACGCAGCAGCGGCCGTGCTGATGACGCTCAGGGGCTAGGGAGGGTCGGCGACACCCCCACCACGGCCGCCATGCCTAAGGCAAGCGGGACTTCACGCTCGCCCCGGGGTATTTTGTTCCGTTTCCAATAACAAATGCACCGAGCTGTAGTTTTGTCAACAACGTTCGGGACGTCAGCGACCTTCGCGTTTCCCATGGATGGAGCGTTACACGGGTCCCAGCAAAACCATGTAGGATGGAACTGCATCACGATATGTAAATATAATAGAAAGATACGAATGATGGGACGCCCTCCGACTACACCCAGTGCCCAGTTGTAAGTGCTGTGAACAGCGGACCGCTACACTGTGATGCTGCGTACCCGTCCGATAACCTGGGGTAGCAGAGCCAGCGGAGCGCCTCCACGACCGCTGGGGTCCAGCGGCCCTTCAGCGGGTCGCTGAGCCACAGCGGGCCCTCGGCCGGGCCAGCCGGCGCTCGCGGTCTGAGCACCGCTCAACGGAGGAGCGCTGCGGCGCAGTCTAACGTGCCAGGCGGGGAGTTCCCGACTTTTACAAAGGAGACGGCGCCGAGGATCGCGGGCATGATTATGATGCAGCCAAATCATGTCTGAGTCAATAAAGGTAGCCACCCAGGTGGCGCCAATAGGTAAACATTTACTGGACGGTGAATTGGTCACATGCAATAAGCCAGCATGTGCGCCATAACCATAACAGCTCGCCTTAAACATAATCACAATCACCACAGCTCGCCATAATGGGCATGACACATCACGCACGTGTGACTCATCTTATGATAGCTTGCTGTTTGGTTCAAGGGTGAATCATAATTTGATTCATTTCCAGGGGAGAAGAGACCTATTAAGATTGGGGACTGCTCGGCTGGCCTATCTGATCGGCTACCAACCCATCAGGCAGCTGAACAGCGTCCGACAGACATAGCTGCGCGATCGGGCCAGCTCTGAACAGTGTCTGACGGACGGAGCTGCGGGATCGGGCCAGCTCTGAACAGTGTCCGACGGACGAAGCTGCGGGATCGGGCCAGCTCTGAACAGTGTCCGACGGACGGAGCTGCGGGATCGGGCCAGCTCTGAACAGTGTCCGACGGACGGAGCTGCAGGATCGGGCCAGCTCTGAACAGTGTCCGACGGACGGAGCTGCAGGATCGGGCCAACTCTGAACAGCGTCTGACGGACATAGCTGCGGGATCAGGCCAGCTCTGCCAACTTACGCTAGATGGCATGATCTTGTCGGCGTCCTCCACCTGCCAGATGGTGCGCCGTGTGTTGCTGGCCGGGAAGAACAGGTCGATACGGAGCTGGGCGTCCTCGGGCCTTGCCGGGGTGTTCTCCCAGTAGCCTGAGGCGATGTCTGGACTCAGCGGAGGAGCGACCTCTATAGCGGCTACACGGGTGTGGAGCTGCCCCTCCCCCCCCCCTCCCACTCCCCGGCCGGCGGCTTTCCGCTCACCCTTCGCTCCGCTGAGCGGTGTGACGGTGTGAGCGGTGTAGCGGAAGCGGACGGTCAGCGGACTAGTAAAGACGGTTTGTGCGTGGGCCTACCGTGGAAAATTGTCTTCAAACCATTTTGATTATTCTAATCATGTTGGGGATATATGTCCAACATTTGTGGCGGGTCCAAAAACAAATATTCCTGATGGGGATTGACAGCGTAAAAAGTGAAAATGTGTCTGGCCATTTCAATCGCTGCATGAAAACGCATTGCTTACAATGAAAACGGTCAAAATCGCCCATATATATATATATATATATATATATATATATATATATATATATATATATATATATATATATATATATAATGTGGGGAGCGGGCTAAGTTATTTCATGTCCGAGACGTATCAGGGTGATTTATTCCAAATCTGTGTGACGGATGGCAGCCTTGAGTCACTCAGCTGACGCACAGCATCTCCCTCTACCTTGCAGTGTACATCTGGCTGCGTACGTGCACGCGCCATGGGACGAGAGCGACAAACAGGTTGTTCACTTGCGGTTGAAAACTACATTAATCAATGAAAATGTGTTTTAAGGGCCTACGGAATAGCTGGACCAATCTGAATCGCATACTGAATGGAAGGAAAGTATATGCGTCGTATATGCTGCAAAACATTTGGCGTCTGTTTGCCAAAGAATTTTGGGTGGCGCGAACTTTCCTCCAAGATGTCGGGCCGTACACGCTGTATTTGCTGTGCATGGGGCATGTTGTGTCAGTAATACAATGTTCCGAGCACATGTCATTGTATCCAGAAAACAGCTCGGTATTCACATGATCTATGTAGACTTATGGCCTCTACCTCAGCAACCAAGACCGATGTGGCAGCGGTCGTAGAACAAGCACTGTTTGATAAAAAGGGGAAAACCCTGTCACGACGCACGAGAAGTCACGAAAAAGCATAGACGAGAGCGTTTGGTCTACAAGTGTAACGCATTCGGCTTAGTGGCGATGCAACTTACTCTATGACAAAATACAGCGCAACTTTCCCCATCACGTGATGCAAGCTACCTCAGGGTATGGCGAGTTGTCTCCTTTGATAGGAGGTCATCTAGAAATAAGTTACCGAATAACGACGACATGCTCTCCAAAACTTAATCTTAGTCATGTCATCACTAGTTATAGCAGCACGAGGCCTCCGGAAAAAACAGACACAACTCTCCTAATGGGCTGCTGAAAAGTTTTTTGTGCGTGGTCACGGTCCTTGAGAGGGGCCTCCGGAAATGACAGATACAGCTCTCCTAATGGGCTGCTGAAAAGTGTGGTCCTTGAGAGGGGCTTACCACAGAAGTAGAACATCTTGAGGACGGCCGCGTTCCAGGTGGTCTCCGTGGCCCTCATGGTGGCTATCTTTCGGAAGCCATTGGGCACCTCATTGCCCGCGGCCCGGTCAATGTACCAGATGCGATCTGAAGGCATAGGACTACTTCGTGTTCCGTCACTTTTACCGAGCCGGCAAAAGTCGATACGGGTTCCAAATGGAAGCATATTAAGCAAAGTAAACATTTTATGGCGGCCAGTTCGTAAAAGACACACTTTTATAAATAGTCTGCTCAGGCTGCACATTTGCCAACACGCTGCCGCCTTCAACTCGAAGTGCATCGTAGACTCTGCATGGGTCATGATCAGTCGCGCGGCTCGATTCATCGGAGGAAGTGGCAGCTCATCACGGCTGTAAAACACCTTTCATATTTGTACAGACTGAAAACGGTTCACAGCCCCAGTGGAACTATTCCAGTGCTCATTTCATCAATGGCTTTGAGCTATCAGCGTGGAAATTTGACGGTGTTTCAGTAACCTGTGCAACGTTTTTAGCGGGGTGAAATCGACAAAGTGACGAAAAGCTGAGTTATCATTGCGCAGATATGCCACAGCATGGGCCGGAATGAAGCCCCGTTCCTCGGCAGCCAATACACAAGGCGTGTCGATCCACCGGAAGATCTTCTCAATGTTTGAGGGCAACAAAAAAGGACAGAAGTTTCATGGTAAATTCTAGGTTGTTTATATAATACACTCCGCATGGAGGAGAGCCTCTTGACGCAGCGCAGCTGAAGCGCAGTGCGAGGACCGCGGGGACACCGTAGTGTAACGCTCAGTTGTCGTGTCAAATCGGCTTAAGCCCTTTTAATACGCGTCAGACATCAAAGTTGGGTACCATTGTCTTCTTATTAGACAAGCAGCACACCCGTATTCGTTTTGCATTTTTATTTCAGTTATGGGCCAAACAGACGTAACCTTTTGAGGACGTTACTTTTGTCAAACTTAAGAGCAACACAACGCAACCAGGGGGGGGGGGGGCAATTTGTCCAGCGCAGCCAGTGCGTGACCAAAGGTGGCAGTGCTGCAAAATTACCAAAGTGCGTAGGGTAAGTAAGGGATGGCCCGTTATAAATTACGGACAAAAACAGAACAGACGTTTCCTCGTCAACACGCGCCCCGGCGGCTGGTAGAATATCTTTCAGTCGGGTGGAGGGAGGATTAATTTGACCTCTGAGATCTAAAAACCGGGAAAGCTAGAGGTACTAAATCCACAGAATGTGCATTTTCTGTACGTGAGCTCACTTATGTCAAAATGTGAAGTTCCTAGGAGTCAAATTAGTTAATTTAACCTCCGTGTTAAATAAAGTCAAACAAAGGCAAACTCTAAATCGGTGTACAAAGTGACCACATACCATTTCATGCAACCGCTGTAGACCTATATATCTGTTCAAAGCGAAACTTGCTGGCGCTCATCTAAGGTCAGTGGCATTTTTGATCTTCAGAACGTCAAAAATTAAACAGGACTGTTTTGATTCTTGGATTTAAATAAGCCCCAAGGATTTCGCTGTGCGGTAGGTTCCTAAGAACAAAATGCTGACTTGGGTAATTTTAGGTCAGTGACGTATTCAGACCTTTAAGAAGCCAACGGATGAAGATGTATTATGCGGTATATGCTATTCATGAACACCAAGCGAGCACCAGAACCTACCCTTGTAGCAGACTCTCGAGTAAAAAGCAGCCTGGTTTTGGCCTTGGTCTGACCTTCATACCGTACACTAGTTCAATGGATTGTTAATTAAATTGTTGTGTTGCCCCAGAAACTATCTTAGAGATGCATGGCTTCGTCTAACATTACGTTCAAGCATCAAATGAAACGACTCCCTAGAAATCGCCTTTGCTGGCCTGACTGGCTTGCCATAAGGCAGCGATTTTGCAAGATGTATCTAAGATGCACCAAAATAGTTCCTATTCAATATTCTACAACCAGGCAAGATTTGGTGCGGCCACAACGCGTCGTTCGAAAATCATTTGGGAACCATCTTCGGGGGTCAAATTGACCCCGTCTCCCGAGCATGTGTTAAGGCTGGTCACCGTCAGCCTTCGAGGCGAAACGTTGATTCTGCTTTTAGCTCCAATTCATGATGTCGTCTTGGACTTTTGGCTAATTTTCCTCCATTGAGCAGAAATACGCTCAGGGTGAAGTGCATTAACGCCCACCCCCCCCCCCCCCCCCCCCTGTAGCCCGCACATTATGCTGACAGCATCAAAAGAAGTGGACGGGGCAAACGTTTTCGAGAAATTTCTATGTAAATCACCCAACGTGTCTGTAAATAATCCTGAAGAGTTTGTTGGAATCATCTTGAGCTATCTTGTATGTCCCTATAGTGTTTAGGATCTGATTTAGACGTTTTAATGAACAGTTAATCGGAGAGCAAAGTGGTTGACAAACTCACATCACATGTTTGAAAAAGACACCCAAGCAAAGGTATAGCAAAACATTGAAGCGGACAAGCCTTAACCTGTTTGGTGAAGATTCTACATAACTTCGGTGCAACACAACATGATCAGTGCGGAACCACTTAATCCCCTGCAAACATGTCCACGTTTATCGCTCTTCATCACGCATTATCACTGCGCGTCATCGCCAAATTCCCTGTCTGTTGCCGAGCCGAGCTCGCGCGGGGGCCGTCGCTGGTCTCGTTGTGGGCGCGCCACGACGTTGTTGGTCGGACTCACCTACAGTTGTGATGTCCTGGTTAGGATGCGTCCAGAGGGCGGGAAGCTGCCACACCTCGTCCCACCGAAACGCGTGAATCCAGCTGCCCTGCTTCAGTTGGTTGGGGTTATCATCCTCTGTCATCACAAACAAGTGGTTGTCGGTATGATCAGTGCCACAAGACAGCAAACGCCTTTGGAATATCGTTTCAGGAGGTAGCACACCCCAAAGAGTGCTGTGACACGCTTGATACAGGAGATAGCACATTCCAAAGAGAGCTGTGACACGCTTGATACACTCACCATTGGTCACGCACCATCTCTATCCAGCCCGCATCCAGATGGATTCAAACGTACGCAGGAAAAGGACGACTTGAAGCAATGCTACTAATGCTGTGAGCCCATCTGGGCTAAATACATCTACTATTTGGCGCGGAAGATAGCTATTGCCTTGCTATGCGCCCAATGACGTCAGCTGCCCACTACGACGGTAAATGCGTGATGCTATATGCATAACACGTAATGTACAATAAAGTGCTAATTCACTCTCAAAGCATACCGGTAACTTTTCGCCGGGGCAGTTACCGCAGGGTCGTGCTATATAGCTAAATAGACCAGCGAAATTGCCATCTTCATTTGTATGTATATCTAAAGCCAAGCTCAATCACATGTCACGACACCCATCTTTCAACCTGCACTGACTGTTCGTCACCGCTGCGCAAATAAGCAGCTACCTCAACGGCTGTTTGACCCTGCTGAAAAGCGGCGAATTTCGCTCGTGCGCGTGCTGCGACCCTAGGGATGGCTGAGCCTGTGCCTGCGCAGGGGCCGGTGAGCGCGTGGGTGCCACCGCTGCTCCGGGCCGCCAGGGCGCGCCACTGCCGTCTCGCCCGGCGCACGCTGGTTGTCTTTTGATGGCGGAGTGGTATTGAGGCATTCCAGCCCCAAACTCGGTGTGGGTCATCGTGACCTTCCGACTCAGCCTCCTCCGTGTCGTGAGTCTTTAGTGCAGTGTCGTGCATGGTGTGTAGACTGTGGCAGTTTCAAATGGTTGATTGCTTTAATGTTTGTTTATTGGTAGTGTATGCACGCATTCGGAGCGTGCATCGTGCGTGGCTGGCTATTCCACCCCCCCCCCCCCCTCATCCACTCAATATTCACAATTTCTCGCTGATAATGTCATCTTTCTTCACACAAATGAAGTCACCAAAATGTGTCTAAAACGGGCTCTCCTCAAAATTTGGCTCACTTTCTTATCGAAGTTGGCAGCTAAAGCCCTTAACTTGATAAGAACCTATCTCTGCTTCTGGTGTGCTAAAGGTGAGCCATTTCCACGCAACATGTGGTACTCATAGATCAAGAAATCATAATGATGCAAAACCTCAAGCGACTACGGTATGAAAGCTGTTCAACCACGGTTTGAAGTTCTCGAACGAGACGGGTATGCCACTCACGGTACACCACGTTGCTCCACGCTGCGTTTGATTCGTCCGAATCAGCTAGGGTCCATGTTTTGATGTCCATGTTGTAGACGTCATAGGCTTGGTCCCGATTAAAGCCTCCTCTTGTCCTCTGAAATGGCAAAGTATCGCTAAAAAGTATCACCGACTTTGGATCACTGATGGCTCGGTTGTCTTTCTCCGCGGTTGATACAGTGGTTATCTATCTATACAATGGAAACAGTGATGGTCTGGGTATTGTATAGCTGCTAAGTGAAGCTGTGAGTCTTTCGTAATAGCACGCAGCACGACGCATTGAGAAGAGTGCGTGTGTGCTATTAGAGGGTTACAGCGAACGGGCTTATAAATAAACATACACGAGCTCATTCACACATCTGCTTGATTCATCGCAGCAGGTCAGCTGCTTTACGTGGGTTTCCGGTTACGCTATATTTGTACGCTACATCGCAACACTAACAAAATGAAAATGCCACACATCCACATGCCATGACAGATGGTCCACACCCATATATATATATATATATATATATATATATATATATATATATATATATATATGTATATATCATGCTACCACAATTTCCAATGGACATGATAAGGGTCTGTTTTTTTGGCTCGGGACACCTTTTAAATATGTGAAGACTCCAAGACTTCAAATCACATGTCATCAAAATCAAATCAAATGAAATAAAAAATATAAAAAAAAATCAAATAAAAAATATATATGTGCGTGCCTGTGTGTGTATGTGTGTGTGTGTGTGTGTGTGTGTGTGTGTGTGTGTGTGTGTGTGTGTGTGTGTGTGTGTGTGTGTGTGTGTGTGTGTGTGCATGTATGTGTGTGTGTGTGTGTGTGTGTGTGTGTGTGTGTGTGTGTGTGTGTTAATGCATGTGTGTGTTTGAGTGTGGCTAAAGTAAGAAATATTCACTCTTCAAGCTGACAATGATATATATATATATATATATATATATATATATATATATATATATATATATATATATATATGTCCTGTGGCACCCAAAAAGTTAACGTTCAATCTTGGTTAAGTATTTAGTGTTTAAGTGTGCTTAGTGTTTAGGCATTTCGCTTACTTTCAAAATCCGACGATGGACCAAATCCGCATCCGCCGACCTGGAAAATGCATTTTAGTTACTTCAAAAGTACTTAGTGGCTTACATAGGTACATAGATACAAACCATTATGGACATGTGAGGCATTATTTGTGCCCCGTTAAGGGGAGTGTTTTATATTTGTATGTGCTTTGAACTGAAATAGCTATCTGAAAGATCATTCGGTGTGATTCACAGCTCTGCCCTTCTTAAGGCCTAACTCCTTCTAGTCTTTGAGCTATACGCCCGCGAAGACGCGCAGATTTTTCGTGCAGACTTTTTCAAAATCACCCAGGCATCCATGACACCATAGTAACGTCATTCAATCCCCTTATTCCACTTGCCACGCAACCATCAATGCCATGGCAAATGAAATCGCCGAGGCATTCATGTCTGGCGTTCGTTAGCACAATTTCCGGACATAACGGCCGTCAGTTGGCTCCCATCCAATCCTGCGCAAGGTACGGTAACGCAATCGAACAATGACGTATCAAGGAGCATGTCTACTAAATAGAGTAATTTTGCTGTCTAGAGCGGTCAGATCAGACACCTCGCCCGCCTCTTTATGCCTCCCTCTCTTCCCTCCATTTCTCTCCCTCTCCATGTTCCGCTCTCCCACCCTCGTCTCTCTGCGTCCCACGCTCCTAATCTCTCACCTGGCAGAGGAGGGCGGCGAGCGGCACCAGCAGGCGACTCGCGGCCCCAGCGGCTCTCCACAGGTCATCCGGCAGCATGGCCGGCTGCGCGGCGACCCTGGGTCATGTCACGCCAGTCACTGGGGGCCCGACGCTGACCACGGCCGCGGCCATCCTGCGCACGACACCGGAAGCCACGCGGGGAAGCGCCGCGAGGTCGCGGCAGAGTCGCGATGGGCGATAAGCCTGTGACGCTGTTTACGCTGTCATTCATTTTCGGTTTGGTCTTTTTAAGCCCGTGGTATGAATGAGCTTTTACAAGAGGGATCTGAGACGCAAAACCCAGCGGATGTGAAAGTCGGTATCATCGGTGTGCCAGGCACAGAAGCGAAAAAGCGTCCATGCGAGAAAAGCAGCAGGTAGATAGAGTGAGCGATAGTGAGTGCGAGAAATAACGTTGAGAAAAGAGAGTTGCCAGCGAAGAGATAACAAGACAGAAAGAGAGAGAGAGAGAGAGAGAGAGAGAGAGAGAGAGAGAGAGAGAGAGAGAGAGAGAGAGAGAGAGAGAGAGCGAGAGAGAGAGCGAGAGAGAGAGAAAACCGAGAGAGAGAGCAAGAGAGAGATAGAGAGAGAGAGAGAACAGAGAGAGACAAGAGAGAGAGAGAGAGATAGAGAGAGTAGAGAGGAGAGGAGAGAGAGAGAGAGAGAGAGAGAGAGAGTAGAGAGAGAGAGAGAGAGAGAGAGAGATGAGAGAGAGAGAGAGAGAGGAGAGGGAGAGAGAGAGTGTATGTATCTCTTACCACCGTCTGGTCCGCCAAGACGCCCCGACGGGTCCTGAGCTGCTGCCGGTGTCGCGGCCGAGTAAACGACTCTACTATTCACGAATGTGCCCCCATCTACTAGTCACTCGGCGGCTCAATTAGTGCTGGCGGTGGGAATACCGCATCTGTGCTCTGTTTCCATTCTAGTTGTCAAGGTGAGCCACAGACGGTAATGTACCAAACCAAGTGTTAGAATATTTATTTTTTGCTACTTTTGCACCAACTGTTTTCTGCGGTAGACTGATTATATTATACAATTGGAAGAGCTCGATCCGTGTCAACGAGATATGCTAGTTATTTCCTGATGGACTCGATCAATCTGCATTGCTTTCGGAATGCCTCCAGAGCCTTCTGCTGACCGGACTGATGTGTCGACCGAGTGCTCTGCGTGCCGGAAATGACGAGGCAGGTCATTTTAAAGGCTTTGGTATTTGAATTGATCTATATTTGTGCGTTGTGGTGAGAGTACTATCCACTGTACGATAATTATGTAGCTAATAAAGCTCGGCGCAAAAGCGCCACTAAAATGAAACCGAAAGTGGTCACCCAGGGCGTCTGCAGTATACTAGATGTAAACTGATGCGCTGTTTTGAGTGAAACACCATTTCGGATCATGCCATAACTCTTTAAACATTTAGTCGTCTCTGCCCTAAAACGCGATTGCATGTGCTTCATTACGTCAGTTTTGGTATGCGATGTAGTAGAAAACAGGTGTCATACAATTATATACCCGATTAAATTATGACTTGCATATACATTAAGCCATATCAATAAAATTAGCATGTCATGAAAACATTTTCACGCCTTTTTGGTTGACGGCTAGAAGAACAACCTAGGCCCAACGGCGCACCATCTAGATCACGTGGTTGAGATGACCTCATTTACGCACCAGAACACGCCGGTTTTGTGGTCAGCCTCACACATCAACTTGCAACGCATCTTCCCCCCCCCCCCCCCTTGATCTCACGAACTGCCGTCTGGATCTCGTCCTCAAGTCCCTCTAGATTCTTCGGTCTTAGTCTATTGAAATTTGCCTTGCGATGCCCCCGAAGGGAGAAATCTGGGCGGCTAAGTGGCGGGAAGGGTGCTGACCAGCTGACTGCGCTCCTCCGGGTGATGAAGCGGCCGTCAGCCCCGTCCCGCTTTACCTGCTGCTTGTGCACGGTACGGCAGCAGTGGGTGCACTGTGCACCAGCATATCCGCTCCCAGGTCACCCAGAACCAGTTCGTCACGGTGACCGGGCGCTCTTTATTGACCGGTGGGATCTCACTGTGCGTGATCTCAAAGAAAAGGGAGAGACGATACCGTCTCCGCTAAGTGGCGCCAAGCATCTGCCTTAGGCTTACAAAGTGAAGTCTCAGGGACCTTGTCCGATGGAGCCCGTCCCCAAATTTGATAACTCTAACGGTTACTTTTCGAAGGCTTGCCGTGCAGACGAAAGTGAGTCTTTACTAGAAGCCAGAAGTTGTTGAAGTCCTCGGAAGACGTGCGTTTCTGTTTACGTCAGCCGCAGTCAGTCATCCTCTGTCAGCTTTTGACGAACAGGGATCTTGCAAGGGGTGCCCACAGCACTCCTGAGTGTCCGATGCGTTGTATTGCTGCTCACGTGTGTCTCTTCAGCGAGATACTGCGCCGAAGTTTGGGTGTCTGGAGGTGTTGAGCTTCCAAGTTTTTGGCATTTCAAAGTATCGAAAGAAACGTTGCCTTGAACAAGTTATGTTCTTTAACTTTGAACACCTTACGTAACTTTACAGAAGCCCGCAAGCAGCTCTCCTTGTCGAAGCCGTCCGGGTGCAAGATTTATTTCCAGTTAATGCTGTCTTAAATTGATGAACTTAGTTGCTTAGTACAACTGAGCGGCGTTGGTATCTTTTTGTGCTCGAGTGATTTACATCTAGAGTGACATGGTATGTGTGAAACAAAACAAGTCGTTGGAAGGTATCATTCCATATTTTTGTACTTTTTTCTTATTGACACATCAGACGCGTACGAATTGATCCAAACTACCAGTTTTCTCTACATCCTTCTGCGTATTTGAGAATTTCGTTTTGAAGCAGCCGATCCTGCGGAGGAAATTTAAATTGACTCCCTGCCGGCCACTATGACAGTAATATACTTCATTTGCCTTGATTTTTCCAGCGTGTGTGTTCTGTAGTATTTGTCATACACTAAGGTGTCAAAATGCTAGTGTAATAAATGTTACCAAAGCCTGAAACCCCGCTTAGACAAAAAAATATGCGAACATGAAGCTATTTTCCCGCGAATTCAATACAACTTTATACTATGGCTTTGATTGCTTCCTATTGAAACCATAAAATGACGTTTACTACAGCGGCTCTTTTCGAGGTGCACTTTACCTTTGGGAATGGGAGCATCAGATGATTCGTGTGACGTACTGGCTCAAACATAAACCAATGCACTTCTCGGTAACAGGCTTCCGCCAGCTGGGTCAATTACAAATGTTATTCCATTCGCACCAGTACAGGTGCGTGCGG